GGAATTATAAAGGAACTATAAAGGAACTATAAAGGAACTATAAGGAACTACAAAGAAACTATAAAGGAACTATAAAGGAACTATAAAGGAACTATAAGGAACTACAAAGAAACTATAAAGGAACTATAAAGGAACTATAAAGGAACTATAAAGGAACTACAAAGGAACTATAAAGGAACTATAAAGGAACTATAAAGGAACTATAAAGGAACCAAATATGAACTATAAAGAAACTATAAAGGAACTTTAAAGGAACCAAATTTATAGGACAAAAAAACAAAGCTATACAAAGATGCACCAACGTATTTCTCCGCCTCGTAAATGTGCATCCAATCTCGATGCTCCATAAAGCTGACGGTGACTCGGGTATTGATAAATGTAATATTTATTTCCTAAAAGATTCGATTTCTAGAAAATTTCTTTTTTTGACTAAACCAATGAAAAAGTATGTGTTTCTTTCAATTTGAATCGCCGCATCAATGGGAGTTGGCAGATTCTGAATTCACGGTTCACGAAGAGTTCTTTCTCGTTTAACAAACGTGAAATCTTTTTGAAATTTGATGCGGGCCATCAATCGAATTGGTTTTATTATGCACCCTCCAATACCAATCAGCCTAAATCATTTGCGTGGCAAAAGTCTAACAATTCTAATTGTAATTGTAAATTTCTAAATGTATTTAAATTCTAATTGTGTTTTAAAAACCTTGAAAACATAAAACTCGTCGTTTATCGTGAAGATTGCATCAACTGACGATGAACAAGGTCTTGGCTTGATTGAATCTTCATGTAAAGGGATTAGAGGCATCTAAACAATTCAAATTGTTACAAATTTCTTCTATAACTATTAGAAATAGCGATACTATCCTGTTCTAAATCCGTTTTTTGAATCCAAGTTAAACACTGTAAAATCATCTGCTTAGATTAAAATTAAGAGGTATTTAAACTATAGTTTTGGCCTAAACAGATAAACAGATGCATCAAGTAGATAAAATAATATTATAAATCAAAAATGGTTAGGTCAATTGGCATGGGGATCAGGGATGCGCGGATCATCCCCACCGGATCGGATAATCCGTAATCATTTTAACGATTTAATCCGTAATCCAATCCGAAATTTTTTTGACGTCCAATCCGATCCGGATTGAAAAACAAAAGAAATTTTGCGTCTTTCCAGCTCAATTTGTTTTATTTTAAACGATTATCGTAAAAGATTAACTCCTGAGACTCTAAAAAATTAGTTTTTTTTGCATTTTAATATTCCTATTTTTGGCTTTGATTGTTCGCTATCGTTGACGGCCTTTTCTTTGTTTTTATGTGTTTTTGATTTGTTAAATTTGTTGTTAATGTTGTTTTTCAAATAAATAGTTCTTAAACAAGGCAAGATTTGTAAATAAGTAGTTACAATTAAAAGCATGAAATATGCTAATTTTGATCCGATCCGGATTTTGATATTCCGGATGATCCGGAAAATGATCCGATCCGGGTTTTGGAAAGAAAAACTCTGGATTAATCCGGATCAGATCTGGTCCGGATCTGATTATCTGATTATGAGCTGCGCATCCCTGATGGGGTTGTATAACAGGATAGTACCGAAATAGCTATAGTCTTGTTTACACTCTTGTTTTACAAACTTTTGTTGTAAGTGTTGGGATCTTTGGATGATGTGTTGGGTGGGGCCCAGCTGGATGTGGAAGATGTTTTGTGATTTTTCTGCCTAGAACAGTTTTTTTGACTATTTAAACTTTCTGACACTTTGGAGCTGCACAAAAGTTATTCGTCGACTTTTTAAATTTACCATATAGCGTCTCTAGAACCCAGAGATCTTGGGAATCAAGCCGAATCTGCTCTTTCGTCTTTCGCGGTAAATCCACAGCGAACATAACACTTTGATCACTTGAAAACGAAACTTACAATTATTCAAAGAATTTTTACTCACTTCGGGCTATGATCTAAACCAAGTGCGTGCCCGATTTCATGCATTGCCACCGAGTATAATGAAGGATCTTAAAAAATACCGTAATAGAGCTCTAATAGAACGCCACCCGTATAATGACGGGCGTACAGTCGCGTAGTCTAACTTTGAACGTCCCGTTCTCCGCGCTGCTTTATACTATAGTGTGCGCTTGGGTGTCAAATGATAGCCCAAGAAATCTAGTATTTTTTGGTATCAAAAGTAGTTGGAAAAAATAATTTTTTAAAAAGAAGTTAGACTACGCGATTGTACGAGCAGATGGCGTTTGATTAGGGTATTTACGGAAGTAGGATCAACTAAAGTGAAAAGTTTCCCTACACTCATAGGAACTGGTGTAATTTTTCCGCCAATGATGAAGATCGTAAAAATGAAGATCACTACCAATCGACCACATCGGATCGAGCGGTTTAAATGCGTGAGCAAGTACGCCGGGTGTCTCAAAACGATATGTGCACGGCGCATGATACTCCTAAACACTCAAAATCGATTGACTCTTGAGTTCTGCTTTTATTAAAACTGCTATATACCGCAAAAAAAAACTCTAATAGAACGGCTTCCTATAGGAGCGTCGCGTAGTCTAAATTTACTTTCAAACAAACGTTCATATCTCGACACCAGTACGTTTGTTTCCCCACGCGTAGGTATCAAATTAAAGTAGAGAGAATGGGTAATTTTTTGAAAGATAACACAGATTTTTAACATTAACCAGCGCTTAGAACAAAATGATTGAAAAGTGGCAAAAACAAAGCCGATTTTTCATCATTTTTCAATCATTTTTCTGAGCGCTGGTTAATGTTAAAAATCTGTGTTATATCTCAAAAATCACCCATTCTCTCTACTTTATTTTGATACTTAAGCGCACAAAAACAAACGTACTAGTGTCGAGATATGAGCGTTTGTTTGAGAGTAAACTTGGACTACGCGACGCTCCTTTAGGAGCTGCTTTTATTAGAATATTTAAGGAAGATCTTAGGGAAATAAAATTTTTCATACTTTTTAATATATTCTAATAGAAGCCCTCCTATTAGAATATTTACGGTATTCAGCTTTTGAAATTTTCTCACATGTGATTCAAACGAAATCTGAATGGTGGCTTTTGGGTCAGCGGTTTCAAGAAATTGGAGATCAGCTTGTGTCTCATAGAAATCGAAAACTTCTCGTATCACTCTTCTCACCGATCCAAGATCCATATGACGAGCTCCGTTGACAACACTAAATCGATTTTCCTCTTTAAAGAAAACGATTAAAACACGTCCTTTTGTTTGTTGACTATAAATGTAAACAATTGTTGCTTTCACTGAAAAAAAAGCGCCTCATAGAACTCATAGAACTTGAGGAATTTTGCTACAATTATTAGTGCTCAAACTTGATATTAGCTCTAAATCGGGGGATTGGAATAGTGCTGTGGGTGAACTGTCGACCAACTCAAAGGAGGTTGTGATGTCCACAAAAAGCGCATCTGACAACGCTCTGAGTTAGTGGGCAGGTCATTCACAAATGAAAGAAATCACAAAATGGGGGAGAGATTTCTACGGTTTCCAATACAAAGAACATGCAACTCTTGAACCCAGCTAGAAACTCTAGCAGTAAATTTTGAGATTCTAGGGAATAGGGGTATTTTTAGAGTTAGGTCGATTGAATGGATGGATCTGAGTATCATCGGATGGAGGAAAGCTAGGTGAAAAGTGTGTGAGGAGACTCCGCCCAGGGACATGTGGCGTGTCAGGGGCCAACTGCTTCCCCTCTTTCCATCCCTCCAATGCCCTTCCCCTTCACAGAAAGAAAAAAGAGGGGGGAAAGTCGCTCTCAGTGTAAACCGAACAGACGTCCCATTGGTGGACAACTCCACAAACACCAGATCAAACTTGGACAACACTCAAAAACGTTTAATACAACGCGTGAATTTTGCATTCGATCAGAAATTTGAATGTGTTTGAATCGATGTGTTTGAATTTTCCAATAATAACAAACGATTTTTGTTAAGTTTAAGAAAAGCTAGTATTCTCAGGATCTTAAAATCTTTTCCGTTATAGTTTTTGTGTGAAGATGGTTGGTAAGTAATGGAACGATGTGACCGATTGAACAGCTGTCCGTTCGCTCCACTTCCCCCCCCCCCCGCCCGTATTTCTTTTTGTACACCATTCGTCCCATTTGGTACCATTCCTCTAAACAAAAAATTCATCTATAGCCCTTTTTGCGATTCCTTTCATTTCACGACGAAAATCGGAAGAGCATATTGGTTATAAGGGCTTACAGCAGGAAATCCTGGATAAAAGTCCAAGTTCTGGGATTCTAGATGGGCCTCTGTTTACAAATATTGAATATTACAGAAAAACAAGCTCGCCCAATCGATTCCTTGACTCCGAAAACCCCCGGGTACAAATTTATAGATCAATATCTTCTTTTTGTGCCATTTACAAAACAAAAGGAAAATGACTGGCAAGGTGTTCTTTGTGCGGTCGGGTAATCGCTCTCCAGCTGGCAAACCGCTCCGGTATATGGTGTTTGCCTTTTGGAATCCACGAGTAGGCTAGGGCTCAAATTCCTGGTATCAATTTTCGCCTCAATTTGGGCGGTACTTTTGCTACAAATTTCAGGTCCCGTCGAGCCACTGTTTTACTCAAAAAGAAACTAAATTAAGAGACTTGAGCGATTTTCTTGTACTTGTAAGCTGTAGAAAACGGTACTGGTAGTGCTATTACTCTACTTGATTAAAGAACAAACCGATAAGTGATTGGCCTTTGTTTCATCACATAAACCTCGGTGCCTCGTTTGACTCGAAGCCCAGCTGCTCTGGAATGAATTATTCATAGCATTCAATTTTTAAGCAATCCATACCACATTTACTGTTAGTTTAGACATAAAAAAAATGCGATCTGACTTGTAACTTTAGTATCTTTAAAGCATGTAGCTTTGACTTTTTTTTATGAAATTGCTTATCAAAGAATGAAAATAATAGTATGAAACTTTAAAAATTAGGATTTAAGAACATTTATGTTACCTGTCTTCATTTGAATTGTATTTCACCCCACATCTAGCCATTTTCATATAATGTCGTTCTCGTGGACCCAAGCTGCCCGTTTCTTCAAGTCCATAAGTTCTCTAAAAGTGTTTTTCAAAAATCTTTCTATCTAGATTTTACCTGTAAAGCTCGGATCGCATTTTCATAAGATTCATTTGAAATTTGTTGATTTCCTTGAGCTAGTCGCTCTGGAAGAAATCCAAAAGCACCCAAGTAGTTTGCCTGAAAGTATAGTTATTTGTTATTTGTTATTTGAGTTATAAATAGTTATTTGAGCTTTATAAATAGTTATTTGAGCTTTATAAAAGAAATCTACCACATCGATCGTCTCGTGCACTTTATGAGCACTTGAGAAAAATGAGAAAATAAAAAAGATGATTGCAAGTGCGATTGCGAGTTGAGTCATCTTTTTGAATTCATCTAAAAGATGAAAGCTTTTATAAGCGTTGAAAGGATTATATGATTAAAGATTATTCCAGGAATTTGACGAAGAAAATGAGAGAACGAGAGAGGTGTTTGCAATGAATGTGTTTGGGTCTTGGGGTGAGAGAAAACGACAAAAAAAATGCTCATAAATGGTATAAAAGGGGACAAGAGAACGAGCGGCGGACACAAGAGAAAAGGTGTTCAAAAAAAAGGTTGAGAAAAACCTTTCTATGTTCATTGAAAAGAAAAGGAGCTGAGTCATCTGGTCTGGAGAATTCAATCGCTCATCCAAACTCATATCTTGATCACCACATGAATGTACGTTTTTCTCGGAATATAGCTTTTGCGTGAATCGATGGGTTTCGTGAGGCTTTCCCTGATAAGATAAAATGATTTTTGGAGTAGCAAAAGACACAAACTAGCTATAGAAGTTTTGCTTTGAACTTTTCTGAGGGAAACAATCTGAAAAAGCTGCTGAATGAAAGCTGAAAAGGGACCTGGAATGGATTGATGAGAAAGAGGAGCGATAAATCGTAAATGGCCGTTTCAAACGACTACAATGGACATTTGGAAAACCCATTGGGAAAACCTATATATATTTGCCAAAATCTTAATGTAGAATATATTATTCTGTCTTTTGAAAAGAACAAATCTCAAAGTATAGCCAGTAACAGCTTTTAAGTCTTAACTTTCGTTATAAAGCGAACAGCTTTGGCTATAATTTTGCGAAATTCTATGACTAGATTTTATGAGATGAATGAGCATTAAGTTGCAAGTTAAAATTCATCTTAACAACTGTTTTATGAGTCAAGCTCGTTACTAGGAAAGTGACGGCTTTGTAATAATCGGTAAAACGTTGGAAAAAGGAAAACGCCTAGAGAAATGATGAAAAATCAAGGAGATTTTTGACAGCTGATCTACCAAGTCACTAGAATTTAAGCGGACTTTTAGACTTTCAAGGAAAACTCTCGAAAAAACAACTGCTGGCCTTTTTTCCTTTCGAGTGAACGATGCTCGCCGATTGAGTAAATGAGAAGTTGGGGAGAAATTATGACCCGAATTTCCTCAATAATTTCTTTCAAAAAGAGACTCAAATAGCTATTAATTCATTTTTTTAATCAAATGAGATAAAAGTTTTAGAAGACCGGGTAAAGAGTATCATCGCGTACTCCTGCGCAGCAGCCCTTTTTAAAATTTCTTTTCTGCATAAAAGCTTTCAATCAAGTGCTATAGGGCTGGAAAATGACTCAAAAATACCACATGAGCTAACAGATAGTCATTTTCCAGCCCTATAGCACTTCATTGAAAGCTTTTATGCAGAAAAGAAATTTTAAAAAGGGTTGCTACGCAGGAGTACGCGATGATACTCTTTACCCGGTCTTCTATTCGAAGAAATACGGTATTACCATAAAAGATTTTTATGCTATCTAACTTATTGTTCTTGAACAAAGGTTTGACTTAAGTTATCAACTTTTGATTTAAAAGAAAAGAAATTACCGGAAAAGTCATTTAAGTATCAAATATCAAGTTAAGTATCTTAAAACTTGAATACTGACTTTACTAAGGCAAAAGAAGACTCATCATTTTGTTGGATGCAGCTTGGTTCTCTCTCTCGTATTTCGCAATGTAGAGAAAAGGGGTTATTGCTCGTTTTTTTATGTGCCTCAATGGATGCGATCCCTTTATTCTCTTTTCCATTTTGTGCTCCCATATGGGGAAATCGAGGAAAGACGGGACCAGATGAGCTTCTTTACATCAACCCTCCTCCTCCTTTACAAATGCGAAAAGCTAAGCACCTTATACTGGGGTGGTTTGCCAGATGAAGAGCGACCACCTGGCCGCACAAAGAACTCCTTGTCAGTCATTTGCTTTTGATGTCAGTCATTTGCTTAGATGGTACAAAAAGGAGATATTCAGTTGTAAATTTGTAATTGAGGGCTTTCGGAGTCGTGGAATCGATTGGAGCTATTCATTCAACACAATTTACTAGAGTTTAAGTTAGCTTTATTTACTAGAGTCTTTCAGACTGAAAATGATCAGGTCTCAATTTCACAAGCTCACTGTGGTCAGCCGAAAAGAATGCCAGATTGTGATCACCAAAAAACACATCCATTTTGCCTGTAGATTTTGATGAGGATACCTTTTTGATGAAGTACGGAGTTCAAAGCTGCAATCAACTAAACTCTGCGCCCTCTCGTTCAGTGAAATGGGATTTTTCGCAGCTTTTGCTTAGCGATCAAGCGATGAAAAAACGAGGCAAAAGCAGGACTAATGGCGTTTATCTGGCTTTGATCGTTGAGTATAAATCCGATCAAAATTGAGCTTAAGGGATTGGGGTTCTCATATAAATACAGACGAAGACTGAAGACTGAGACTGAAACATTTTGATCACGGTGAACTGCCAACAATGTACTTTGAAAGCTTTCTTAATTTTATTTGAACTGAGATAGAGTAGAGTAGAGTTTAAAGATTCACTAATTTATGTTATTTCTTCTATCTTTCTAATTTGAATGCTTATTGTTACTTTTAGCAGGGTTGATCATGGTTCGATTGCTCGTCTTGGCTGCAACGGTGACATTGAGTTTGGCGGCTCCCAATCAAAAGATCATCATGCCTTGCTTGGGTTTACTTGATGTAAGTTTCCTTCTTTCTTTCTTCCTTTCTTTCTTTCTTCTTCCCCATTCTCTTCCCTTCTTTCTCTTGACAAGTTAAGATACCTAATAGCTCAGTGGTTAGAGCAATTGCCTGGAAAACAGCAAAAGATCAAAGATTCAATCCTTCTCCAGAAATCTACTTTCCATGCCAATTCCTTCACTTCTTTAATATAAGATAATAAAAGAACTGACTTATTAAATATGAGTTTTATACAGCTTCAAATTTCCAGCCCACTTCTACCGACGTTGAACCTTGTAAAGGACCGGAACTCTGGGCAGCTCACCAACAATGGACACCGTTGAGAAAACGCGCTTGCAGTAAGTGTGGTCAGAAGATATACATACCGTAAATACTCTAGAACGCCACCCCTATAATGACGGGTGTACAGTCGCGTAGTCTAACTTTAAAAGCTCTGTTCTCCGCGCTGCTTTTTGCTACAATGTGCGCTTGGGTGTCAAATGATAGCCCAAGAAATCTAGTATTTTTGGTACTAAAAGTGTAGCTGGGAAAACCTCTAGGAACTGAGAAAAAAATGGATTTTCTAAAAAGAAGCTAGACTACACGACTGTACAGGTGGCGTTCCATTAGAGTAATGAAATATCAAATATGTTGTCCTTTGCCTTTTCTCATTCAACAAAGTCAATACAAATGATAACTTTCAGCCGGAAGTGATCCATTGATAGATCCGGAAATGTGCACCTATTTGAACGGGGTAGATAGAGATTTCAAAGCAGTAAACGGTTCATTATTTTAGTTGAAACCAGTGGATATGGAATGCTTTGCTTTGGTGACAAACGCCTACTACAAGATGGGTTATCCACCGCCTTGCCCGAAGAATCTCACCGAGTCTTCGTTCAATCAACCGGTCACCTCGATGAGTGATAATGAAGTGCAAACCTGTCTCTCTGTATGTTCATTTGAGATTTAAATAATTTAAATATGATATTTCTTCTGTATTTTCATTTAATATCTTTAAAAATATTAGGATGCCTGGAGTATGTTCACCGATTTGTGCGGCAATAATCCATCGCTTTTAAGCCGCACCGAGACTCTTTACAACACACAGGCAAACAATTTTTGCAAGAACGCTGAAGATATCAAATTCGTTTCAGATGGAAACCCTTAACAAATGTGTGGCTGCAAATCCGGATGTTGGACCCACCTGCAAACACGAATTCGAACTTGTAAGACCTTTTTTCCATCAAGTTCTTCATCAATTTTAGCAACAAGTCGCGCAATTCAACGTGTTCCAAAATCAAGAAGATGGCACTCACGCTGATCCGGTTACCATTCTTGAGAGAGTTTGTCTTGTTGTCTTGTTATCTTGTTGAGTTGAGAGTTAGTTGTCAGTGTTTTTATAGGCTGGGAATCTAAAATATGGTCGGCGGCGGGATTCGAACCCGCCAGCTCACCTAGCTCGCTAGCTTTCAATGCGATCGCTAGCTTTCAATGCGAGCGCTAGCTTTCAATGCGATCGCTAGCTTTCAATGCGATCGCTAGCTTTCAATGCGATCGCTAGCTTTCAATGCGATCGCTAGCTTTCAATGCGATCGCTAGCTTTCAATGCGATCGCTAGCTTTCAATGCGATCGCTAGCTTTCAATGCGATCGCTAGCTTTCAATGCGATCGCTAGCTTTCAATGCGATCGCTAGCTTTCAATGCGATCGCTAGCTTTCAATGCGATCGCTAGCTTTCAATGCGATCGCTAGCTTTCAATGCGATCGCTAGCTTTCAATGCGATCGCTAGCTTTCAATGCGATCGCTTTACCAATGAGCTACACCGTCACGTATCCCATTGCCGCCAAGTTTATGCCTTACTAGTTCAGAGTCTTGAAAACATATAATACAATAATCTCTGAAATGCTTTAGTCTCTGAAAACCTTCCGCAATTTCTACCAGATCTTCCAAGAATATTTGACCAAATGCCAAAGCATTTGGACATGTGGATTCAAGAGCACGTTTAACGGACTCAAATGTAAGGGAAGCTTTAACTAAACTTGAACTTTTGTTTATCAGTGTACATTTAAATCAAATTTTAGCACCATTCACTCAATTCGCTTACAAATACATCTGTAAAGAGCTAGATTCGTCGAATGGTACCTTTAATCAAGCTGATTTTGTTGCAAAGGTTTGATTTTTTTTTTGAATGCATTTAAAATCATTTATAAATTTTAGGTGCAAGCTTTCTCGACTCAGATGATCGCTTTGGCCAAGGCCGGCAAATCAAACTAAAAGATCAACATGTCAAAACTTGAATAAATTTATAGAGTTTAGCGAGAAAAGAGCATACACGGAACGTTGTATTTGGAAATGTGCCTAAAAGAGGATTGTGGAGACTTTTGATACGCGCCCCGCTCCCTTTCCCATTGACAATCCAACTTTGAGCTCAAATTTCTTGGTCTTGAGCTGCCCAATTTAAATAGTTTTTATACCAATCGACAGAGAAAGACTTGGCGCATCTAATGATACCAAGAAGATTTAAATTCGACAATACCCTAGAACGCCACCCGCATAATGACGGGCGTACAGTCGCGTCGTCTAACTTTAAAAGTTCCGTTCTCCGCGCTGCTTTTTGCTACAATTTGCGCTTGGGTGTCAAATGATAGCCCAAGAAATCTAGTATTTTTTGGTACTAAAAGTGTAGCTGGGAATCCCTCTAGTGGAAATGTGCCTAAAAGAGGATTGTGGAGACTTTTGATACGCGCCCCGCTCCCTTCCCCATTGGCAATCCAACTTTGAGCTCAAATTTCTTGGTGTTAGGCTGTTCAATTTAAATAGTTTCTCTGTCAATCGACAGAGAAAGACTTGGCGCATCCAATTATATCAATGATGGAATATTGTACTCCATCATTTCCCTTTGGCAATTTAACTTTAAGCTCAAATTTCTTGGTCTGTCCAATTTAAATAGTTTTTATACCAATCGTCAGAGAAAGACTTGGCGCATTCAATGATACGACAATGATTTAAATTCGACAACCCAACATCAAGATATTTGAGCTCAAAGTTTGATTGCTAATCGGAAAAGGGAATGCCCGGCCCCCTTTCCCATTGGCAATCCAACTTTAAGCTCAAATTTCTTGGTCTCGAGCTGTTCAATTTAAATAGTTTTTATACCAATCGACAGAGAAAGATTTGGCGCATTCAATGATACTAAGAAGATTTAAATTCGACAACCCAACATCAAGATATTTGAGCTCAAAGTTAGATTGCCAATGGCAAAAGGGGCGGATCGCGTATGAAAGGGCCGATAACTATAACGAAAAGATCTAAAGAAAAAGTCTTTTTTTTACCGTTTTGAGAGTATTTCCAGATTGGTCACATTGTGCTTACTTTGTTGTCGATCGATTTATGGATGAGCGCTCTCACGAACGCTTGAGCTCAACATCAACTTTATTCAGCTGAATCGACTCTATGAAAGGTTATAAGGCTTAATTTGTAACTAGCCTTATTTTAGCCATTTTTTCTATGAGCAAGAATCGTATTGTTGAGTGCTGTGGGTGGCCTTCTTATGGAAAGATTTCTGGGGTAAAGAAAACAGCTGTACTGAGGATGTGAAAGGATCCAGGGGAGTGACCACATGCATATTCCATACTCAGCTCATATTTATGAACTTGAACAAAAGAGTGAGAAAAGGTTCCTGCAATTTTACGGTGCTCTTAGTGACCGGAAATGGGCCAGCTCTGTCCCCTTTCACCCCTCAAACTTTCCCTGTCTAGTCCGCCTCCTTTTTTTCATTTCTAGTCTCACGCAGTTCAACTCGCTCTTCAAACATTACCTTTTACGTTTATTCACACATTTTTTTGAAAGTTGAAAGATTTTTGGGCTATTTCCTCTTCCATATTCAAAGAAAGATTGTTCTTAATTTGTGATTTTGTGTCTTTAATCATTTTAATAAAAATGTAACATCTTTTTTGTAACAAAGATGTCCGTTATTCTTTACTTTTTCTTCTTCTTCTTCTTCTTTAACCTTCTCCTTCAATATTTCTTCAATACAAAGATATCTTTCTGTATAATATCCAAGATAAAGAATTAGTCTTCAATGCAGATTTTTGTGGATAGAGTAACCTCCATCGAGAAGCAGTAGGGTAATCGTTTCACCTTTCCAAAAGCCGTGGTCGATAGAAAGATTTACCTTTTACAAAACATTACCTTTTACGTTTATTCACACATTTTTTTGAAAGTTGAAAGATTTTTGGGCTATTTCCTCTTCCATGTTCAAAGAAAGATTGTTTCTAATTTGTGATTTTGTGTCTTTAATCATTTTAATAAAAATGTAACATCTTTTTTGTAACAAAGATGTCCGTTATTCTTTACTTTTTCAATTAACCTTCTTCTTCAATACTTCTTCAATACAAAGATATCTTTCTGTATAATATCCAAGATAAAGAATTAGTCTTCAATGCAGATTTTTGTGGATAGAGTAACCTCCATCGAGAAGCAGTAGGGTAATCGTTTCACCTTTCCAAAAGCTGTGATCGATAAAAAGATTTACGAATCACTAACCAAAATGAAGGAAAGAATCTAAGATTTAAGAAAGTAAGTGATTTAGGTAGAATAGAAGAGATTTCCATCATGGTTGCCATAGGTGAATGAACGGACAAGGAAAGAGGGGTGGAGAGTGACCACCGTCCACCTTTTCTCTCCTCTTTCATTCTCCGAGAAGAAAAGGAAAGGGGGAGATTGCAAAAACCCACTTCTTCTCAACTATACACTTTTGTCGACGGCTTTCTATTGCTCGTGTTCCTTTTGCTTTCATCCAAGAATTAATCCCTTCATTTGTCTTATTTTGACTACGAGTTTGACGTCTTTTGTTCGCACAATCAGTTCACTCAAATTTCTGTATTAAAGAATTTCTCACTTGCTCACGACGTTTTTACAGTATTCTTTTTTTAACTTAAAAGAAAATTGATTGTCTTATTGATTGTCTTATTTGATAGAATATTACGATGTCGGCGGCGGTGAGAGCTCGAAGTGCTCACACATCACACTCACGTTTAAAGTATTCAGGTACTTTCTCAATCTACTATCATTTTTCATTTGTTCTTATATATGCTTTTATATTTTTACCAATACTATTTTGTATACTACAAAAGCTGTGCTCAAAAAAAAAAGACAGAAAAAACGAGACAGCCGATAGAAAGTGCGTTTTGTGCTCTGAAAAGGGAGCTAATTGCTTGACTAGGAGAGTGAGGGTAATGGGCTGTTTTGAGGCTCAAGAGGGCAAAAAAAGGACTTCACCCATCATACCTATACGATTCACAGGTGATTTGGAAAAAAAAAATGAAAAGATTCTATTTTTGGTGATGAGTATGGATTTTGTTGTACGTCATAGATGCGTTCACGTCATAGATCATAGTCATAGATGCATCCACAAAAGTTTCATAAACTAATGCTTGTTGCTAACTGGAATGATCCAAAGCGGAAGATGTGATATTTTGATGGCAAGAAGATGAAAACACCATTCAAAATCTAATACTGTATTTAGTTTTTGTCAAGGAAGTCGCATTCTTGAGAAAAATGCATTGAAAATTTGGGCATCTACTTGGAAATTGGCTTCTGGAGGCTAAAAGGTGAAGAAAACAAAATTGCCAGCATCATCCTTTTTAAAAAAACAAAGATAAGTTGGGGATCGGAATTGAACCCGAGAACAAAAGCCCGCTAAGACAGCGCACTATCCACTAGGCTATTGGGTGACATTCCATCTGCGCAAAAAAGATATCTTAGCCTGCAGAAGCTATTTTCCAAGTAGATGCCCAGCTTTTAAACGCGTTTTTCTCGAGAATGCGGCCTCCCTGGCAAAAACTAAATACAGTATTAGATTTCTAAATGGCGTTTGCATCTTCTTGCCATTAAAATCTCACATCTCCATTTCCTTGTAAGAGTTGAAAGTTGAGTTGAGTTGAAAGTCGAGTAAGAGTTGAAAGTCGTACATAAATTTAACAAAAAATGGCAGTATAAGCTTTTTTTTCTTATAGTTAAGAGGTTTATTCATGAAAAAAATAAAGTCATTTGCAAAGACTTCAGATGGAGTTTCCCTTGATCGAAACAATAATCAAATGATTCGAATCTCACGTCAACCGCGTCTCGTTCACAGCACATCGAAACACGCAAATGAGGGTTTCTTTGGGGTTTGGGGAAAAGTGATGATAAATTTGCAAATTGACATGAACTTTAGCAATCCGAGAATATCAAAATGCTTGAAAGTCGGGCCTGTTTGGAGAAGATGTACGATATTGGATCAACGATTGGCAGAGGCAATTTCTCACAGGTGATTAGACTTGCTTATCGAGAATATCGATACAAACAGCATGTTCAAGTTTGACCGTTCAGATCTCAGTTTCTAGAACAGCTATCAATGTGTAAATTGTTTCATTGGAAAGCCAAGAATCTCAGCTTTTGATTGCTATTTTATACATAGCTATTTTTAATAAGTAAGCACCTCATAAACCTTATCGATATCGAAAGTATTGATTATTGAAAGTATCGATTATCGATAAGCTTATCGATATTTGAGTATCGATAAGTATTGTTAAGCTTTTTAAGGCACTCATCTATCAGAATTTGTTATGTGTGAGATAGCAATCAAAAGCTGAGATTCTTGGCTTTTCAATGAAACAATTTACACATTGATAGCTGTTCTAGAAATCGAGATCTGAACGATCAAACATGAGCTTGACGTTTGGATCGATAATATCAATAAGCGAGTCTACAGTGATTATAGTGAGAAAGAGTGATTACCCTTATTTCAGGTATTCTATAGTGTTCGTCGAAAAGATGATCACAAATGTGCGCTCAAGGTTTTTTAATAAACAATTTCTTTACGCAAAAACTTTTAGGAAGTTTACAAGCAACAACTTCGTGGCAAGTGGTTTTTCGTGGAAAATGAGGTAAAAGAAAGTCATTTTATTGTAAAGATTGTAAAGAAATCACTATTACAATTACAATTAGAGCTAGTTGAATTATTAAAAATGATTATTTATAGGTGGAACTGATGATGGTGTGCAGCCATGATCACATTTGCACGATGATGGACGCCTTTCAAACTCCAACCAAATATTTCATCATTTTTGACTATGCCGAGGTAAAATGTTATTCAAATATTAGATATTTATCTGGATTAAGTGTTATAATTATATATTAAATGAAAATTCAGAGCGGTGATTTGTTCGAGGCCGTGAAAGCGTCGGGTCGACTCACCGAAATGGACGCGGCACATATTGTTCAGCAGGTCAACAGTTTTTAACTAATAGAGCGGAATTTTCTCAATAAAATTCGATAAGCACCAAAAACTAAACTCCAAAATTGAATAGAAAACGAAAACTCGTGCTTTTTTTAATTTTAAAGGTTAAGTTAAGGTTTTAAAGGTTTCTAATCAAAATGTTTCTAGATCGCTTCAGCATTAGCCTATCTTCATGCGAGAAAAATCGTGCATCGTGATATTAAACCCGAAAACGTTCTTCTATACTCGGAAAACACGGCAAAAGTATTTGAAAATAGAAAGCAAAACTATATTTGAATCTAGTTGTGCGATTTTGGTCTAGCTTGCACAATGTTGGGCCCTCTTTATCGTGTTTGTGGCACTCCGACATACTGCGCTCCGGAAATCCTAAAAGAAACCGGTAAACATGTTTTTCAATCAATATGAATTCAAACAAATGAATATATTTCTAAAAAACGATCTCAGGCTATGGCCTTTCCGTGGACGTGTGGTCGCTGGGAGTGGTGTTGCACGTGATGCTCGTCGGATTTGCGCCGTTTCGTTCTTCAGGTGGGCTTATACAAGTAAATCTTGTAAAAGATATAATGTAAATAAAAAGCTTGTAAAGATAAAACTTGTAATAGATAAATTAATCCATTTTTAGACAGACAACGCCTTTTTCGTCTAATCACAAGAGCTCAACTGAGCCTTGATTTGCCCGAATGGCGACGCGTGAGTCGACGTGAGTTTTTTTTTGGTTTCTTTTTGCCACTTTTCAATCATTTTTCTGAGCGATTTTTTCTTTCTTTTTCTTTTTTCTAATAAAAGCGGCCTCCTATAGGAGCGTCGCGTAGTCTAAATTTACTTTCAAACAAACGTTCATATCTCGACACCAGTACGTTTGTTTCCCCACGCGTAGGTATCAAATTAAAGTAGAGAGAATGGATGATTTTTTGAGATATAACACAGATTTTGAACATTAACCAGCGCTCAGAAAAAATGATTGAAAAGTGGCAAAAACAAAGCCGATTTTTCATCATTTTTCAATCATTTTGTTCTAAGCGCTGGTTAATGTTAAAAATCTGTGTTATATCTCAAAAAATCATCCATTCTCTCTACTTTATTTTAATACTTAAGCGCACAAAAACAAACGTACTAGTGTCGAGATATGAGCGTTTGCTTGAGAGTAAACTTAGACTACGCGACGCTCCTTTAGAGGCTGCTTTTATTAGAATATTTAAGGTAGACCTTAGGGAAATCGAAATTTTTAATACTATTCGATAAACTTGATTAACAAGTAAGATTTCAATCAAACATTTATAATTTAAGTAACAATTTAGCGGCCAGAGATCTCGTGATGAAAATGCTGAACGTTTGCGCAGATAAAAGGCCAAAAGCGAGCGAGATTTCATCACATCCTTGGGTCTCCGATCTTGTAAGTGAACCCGATGAAGAAGAGTGAAAAAAAAAATTTTCACCTACTTTTGAATGAATTTCTTTGTAAAATTCTCACATTTTCATGTTTCTTTCTTTTATTACTGGTGCAAGATCGTCTTTCATCACCAAAAATTTGTCTTTCCACTTTCAACTGTAAACCTTTTTTTCGAAATAAACATATTTATTCTTGAAAGTCGCAAGTTTCTACTAGTGATCAACGGCAATAAATAAGTAAAAAGAGACAAAATATCGATTTTAGAATGTTCAAGATATAGCCAAAAAAATTTTCACAACTACAAAAGTGAAAGCTTTTAAACTCACAAGTAGGAATAGAGCTGAATGAATGAAGAAAGAAGAGAAATTTGTTAATTTTCTGAAATAAAAAAGCAGTAACAGCAAGACTTGTACTAAAATCACAAAGATTGAATCCAATAGTTGATGAAATTTTGTTTTTTTTAGAGAAGAAAATACTACCGGAAGTGGGAAAACCGGAAAACAAAAAAATCCCGAGACTTTAGAAGGAAATAGTAATACTTACACAGAGAAAAAGTTCATAACCCATAAAGCTACAAATGCAATGTCTTTGATATTTTTGAAAAACGAAGAATTTTCACAAATTTTCACAAAAGCGAGTATTGTTTTAAGTTCAAACTTGATCGTTAGCTTTTTCAAAATCAGTCTTTGAACAAAGAAGAAGAAAAAAAAGTAAAGTTCACTAGATAAATCTTTGAAAGTTTGAGTTGAATTTTGCTTGGAAATCTATGAATCAAAGTTGGCTTTAAGTTGAATGAGAAACGAGAGAATTGATTGAATGAGTGCTTGGATATCGGGAAGATCTTCATCAAGTGATGAACGCTCTCCCAAATACAGCATACCCTTCTCGACTTCATCCTAAAATCACCTTTTAGCTATCATTATTTATAAAGCTTTTTTTAAACGTTAAAGCTCACAGTTATAATAACGACCAGATTTTTAAAAGCTCAACTTATTGTTAGAAAACTCTTTTTGCCATCTTTGTCGATAAACTTTTCACTTACTTTTGTAGTGGTGAGCAGCTCAGATAAACTGTCTTCAAAGAGTGGATACATTGGCATTATTGCTAACAAAAGATGCCCACATAACTGTAAAATTTGGTTTTTTTAGCTTGAAGCTCATTTTCTTGAAATATTTCGGTTTACGACCCCCACCTCCAATTCCCGTTTCACTCGTGGCAAACCGTCTTTGAAATGTCGAACCTCTCGGGAAAGTTCTTTCATCGAGACTATAATAGGATTTAAAAGCAAAATTATAATCAAAAAAAAACTTTTTGCTGCTTCTTTAAGATATGGAATCATCATGAAAAGGTTTTTGAGATGAGAGAATTGTGAGTCGATGAGATGACTAATCTCCACACACAACGTCGAACCAGTGAGAAGCACTTGATCACCACACTAAAGCCATTTTTTTATCCAAATTTAAATAGATATTCAATGAAATGAATATCTTCAATCGATTTCTTGTCTCCGAAAGCCCCTTTGCTTTTAGTGAGAATCGAACCCCTCCTTTAAGCAAGTGAACCAAATTTGTACCTTTCCCAGATTTTTGATGGCAAATCCTTTCAATAAATGCCTCTCCGGGTCGCCGAAAGATCCACCAATCACAGTCATCACCAAATTGATGAGTTCACGGAAAGAGTCACTCGAAATCAGCATTTGAATCGTTTCGCCAAGTTGCCGAAGTTGCTAGAATCTTTTTGTTATTGTGTCTATTCAGTGCACTAACCTGAGAAACTTCCGCAAGCTTTTCTTCCGAGAAACTTGCCAACCATTTTAGAGTGTTCAGCTTCTCATCAAGTCGATCGATGGCCGCCAATTGGACAATAAACTTCTCCTCGTCACTCAAATCAGCAACTTCAATGAAAGCTTTTGGGAATGATCTATAATTTCTCATGAACATTGTTTTTTAGGTTTATTAACCGAATTCGAAGCGAGTCAGTTGGCGATGGAGCAATTTTGAGCAACTCATTGATGGTCTCCGCTGAAAGAGATTTCACATCAAGTCCTCGGAAATTGCTAAAAAAATGATTTTTAAACCTTTCAAGCACAATAATATGAAAATAAGATTCAAGATCAAACCTTGAAAGCAAAGAAACAATGTTGACAGCGTGAATGCCGTGATCCTCTTGAAAATCGTGGATTCTCTCGCGTTGATCCATTCCCAAAAAGCCCTCAATCCGATAAGCGCTTTGAAAGCGTGACTGGTCAATTAACTAAAAGAAAATATTCCTGAAGATTTCTGAATTTCGAATTGAAGAAAGCGGATTTTATCACAATAAAAATAAGTGCTTTGAAATGATCACCGGGATTTCAAGTAGGATCAGCGGCCAATCTCAGCCAAAAAAAACACTTGTTTCTAATTCACTAGATCAAACGAATCAAAAATGTGATGATTGTCAATAGATTTACCTTGATAAGTTCAGCTGGTGAGGTCATATGTGCAAAAATCGTGCCCTCGATTTGCTCTTCATTTAGGAATTCAAAAAAGAAGCTTTTCGAGAAGTATCTGAAAATTTCAATTTGCTTTGAAAAAAACCGAGTAAAGTATTGTACTTTGGCTGCAGCTTTTCCCCCAAAAATCCCCAGGCGTTGTTGGGTGTGGTCGGAGTTGAAGGCTCCGTTGTGGCAGAGGTTGAGCGAAGAGTCACCTCTAAATTAGCATAGAAAAATTCGCTCGCAAAAAAATATACCATTGGAGCGAATGTTGCTCAAAAGCTCGTCAATTGATGAGGAGGAAACGACGACATTTTCCACGCTTTCCTTCGTATCTGTTGTTGGAGTCTCTTCGACCTAGAAAAACAGAATTTAACCCAAAAATTACTATAAAACCTTTGTTTGCCCGTTAACACCGTGATTGTTATTGTTGTGAGTGTTCAGGACAAGTCCGGGGATGGGTGAACCGAAACCAGGAAGATTCAAGCTAAAAGTTTTCTAGATTAAACGATTCTTATTTCTAATAAGATCCAAGGATCTTAGCCACTCGGCTATGGCGGCTAAGAGGCCAAACTCTTTGTAACAAACCTAGGCTTTGAGATTTTCTCCAATTGCTTTTCAAGATTGAGACGAGCCTCGTTGCGGTTGAGCTCTGCGAGAGCAAGTTCAAAGTTGGCAAGTGCAAGCTTTTGATCAAAGGCCATCTTCTAAATACTGTATAAATCTCAAATTCTTTACAATTACCTTTGCCATCTCAAAAGCAGAAACCTCGTTCATAGGCCGTGAGGTCGAAGCTTTGATGGTCTAAGAATTTGAGATAGATGCTTTTGTTAAGACAAATACCTGACTGCTTCTACGAGTTGGTGTATTTGAGGTGGATGGGGAAGTGGGTGTCTCTCTGCCTTGCATCGGTCGACCACGTCCGCGAACTGAAAACAAACAACTTTAAGATTTTACTCTTTTCGTTTACCATTTGGGAAACATTTCTTCATGAACTCTTCCACTTGTCCGGCATACTCATTCATGTAGCTGATTGGATCTCCCTGAAATCAAGGCTTAAAGTTTTATGGAAAAATTCACTTACAGCTAATCCATGCAAAGAAACCATGTGACTCTTGACGTTGTTCTTCGAATAAGTTGAAGTGAAATCGCATTGTGGACACTAAATGAGGAAATGTTAAAATAAAGAGTGCGTGAAAAGTTTTGTCACCTCCCCAAAGTTGATCAAAACTCAAAAACTGAATTTCGTTTCAGCTCAATGAAGTATAGCATAAAAAAATAGTAGATTTTTTTTAACGATTTAGTAGCGTTGTTCAATGGCATAGGTTTTGGGAGTGGGACAAATGCGACCTTTTTTTGCGCACCCGGACATTTGCGCACCTTGCCCATTAGCGCCCCTTTTTTCGCGTTTTAAAAAAGGTCTAAAAGCTAATATTAACCAATTTCTATTCCAAAAGTTGTTTTTCTAGGTAATTTTAGGACGTAGAATCGAAATTTTGGCATATCAGAGCTTGTGGAAGCGAACGGACGGAGTTATACAAAGAGAAAAATCAACAATTTTCTGTAATTTGACCTAGCCGTTTTGTCTTTCAAATTGGTTCCACACGCTCTGTTATGTCAAAATTTGAATTCGACACCCTCAAATTACCTAGAAAAACAACTCTTGGAATAGAAATTGGTTAATATTAGCTTTTAGAGCTTTTTTAAAACGCGAAAAAAGGTGCGCTAATGGGCTAAGTGCGGAAAAAAAGGTGCGCAAATGTCCGGGTGCGCAAAAAAAAAGTCGCATTTGTCCCACCCCCTAGGTTTTTGCAAAAAAATTATGAGATATAGAAAATTTAGTGCCCTATTTCTATTCTGAATTTTCAAAAATGGATATTAAAATCATATTTTTTCCCCTAGAAAACTCATATTACATAGAAATTTATTTCCTGTCTAGATTATTCAAAAAATGAGGACTATAGATAGACTCAAGGACTTTTTCTACTTGAAATTCCCGCAAATCGGCAAACCAAACACTCTATTATAAATTTGTTACTAGCAAAAGATATTTGACGCTTTTTATACGTTTTTATGCAATATTCATATCCAAAGTTGATTGGTATTTGCCTTAAAATCGATAAAACCCAGTAATTGTGGTGACAGAACTTTTAGAGGCTGTAGAGCCAGTGCTTTCCCTACCTGGAACATCGGCTTCGCCACGTGACACTGTCGAATGTGGCATGGGAGTTTCGAGGAGTGAACCTCCTTTTGGCACAACTCACACCACTGGAATGTCATCGGATACGACTGAATATTTCTATGATGAGCAGAAATGAAAATTGATTTCCCTACTCTTTTTCGTTCACCATTTGGGGTTTGCGTTTGAGTCATTGGTGCCGATCGAGGAGCCAAGGCTTGCTAAAATGACATTATAAACTTTTGACATTATAAACAAAATCTTTTGAGTTAGACATGTTATATGCTAAGGTTGTTTTTAAGAGTATTTTCAAAGACAAACTGTAATATGCTGTGCTTGCATCTGTAGTTGAAAGAGAGCTGCCATATTGGCCATATTTCCGAGAAGTGGTGGTGGAACGGGAGCAGTCACGGGTGGCTCCTAGAAATCTCAAAAATTTCAATATTCCAAAAAAAAGGAGATTCGTATCTTCATCTTTTCCATCCCACTTTCTTTATTCTCACTTTCAAGCGAACCAAACACGCGGTTGTCTCAATATTATTGAACTAAGCTGCATTTCCAAGCCGCTTTTCGCCCATTTATGCCCGTGTCGATCTCCTCTTTTTGTATTATTGCCACAGTAAGTAATTGCGATTGGCGGTGTTTATTTTTAGAAAATTTCACCGCTCAACAAAGATAAGTTGTAAATGGAGAAAATTGGGAATCGAAAATCTCGAAAATTTTTGATTTAAGAAAGTAAACCAACCTCTGGCAGAGTCAAAGGTGAAGCGTGCATTTGTTGAAATTGTTGAAGGCATTGTTGCTGTCGCAGTTGAGCAATGGCAAGAAAAGACGACGCGAAATCCTAAACATTATACTTATCAAAAAGTTTTCGAATATGTTTACCGATGGTGGAGGCAAAGGGATTCCTTGGATTCCTCTTCCGCGAAGCTCTTCAACGGCTCGTATCGGTGACTCGTTTCCCACTTCTCGCTTCATCTAAATTTAAATATCACTTTAAAAAAAATAGTAACCATTTCTATTTAGATCTATTTTAAGAATAGAGTTTGTTTAGCTACTTAATTTTTAAAAAATTACCTCAATGAGTTCTGGTGAGACAGGGACAAGGCCTGATCCGAGAAGTCCTGCCCCTGCCAACATCATTCTCACCTAAAAATTCACATTATTTACTAATTCATTAGTAAAAACTAAAGAAAATGAATGAAAAATAATATAAATAATAAATCAAGAAATAGAACAACGCAAAAAAGCGGGAGAAGGAGGAAAAAATGAATGAAAAATAATATCTCAACAAATGGAACAATGTAAAAAAAAGCGGGAGAAGCGGCTATGTGATCCGTAAACCGATAAGTGCATTTACAATGTCTAAATTGCAACTTGAGAAAATTCTGGAAAATCTACTTAATCAAAAAAAAAGTTTCGAAAGAATTTATTGCTCAAAAACACTTGTCAACGCTTTGTCTCTGAATAAATATTTATGATTTAAAAGATCTACCGTAAAATGTTTTGTCTTCACTCTTTTCTCTTTCCTAACCTATCCAAAGGGGTTGATGAAGAAGGAAAATGAGAAAATGGATGGTTGGAAAAGGGTATTCTCGGGTAGGCACGCGACGGCACACGCTGTACAAAATGTCACACCGTAAGAAGGCAATGAAGAAAAAAAAGGGGGAAACTGAGAGTTGAGCCGAGAAAAAAGGAGCTAATGGCATTTCTTGTCTTTTTTCTATTCGAATCCTCCTCACCTCTTCGTCACCCAAATGCCCTTCAGTATTCAGACGAGTGGAAGAGCAAAACTTTGTGAAATCTCAAGGAAAGACTTCGGAGGGAAATGTTGCGAACAACTCGGCTATCTTTTGTCACTTTAGCCTTTAGCTATAGTGAATTTTAAAACCCAACTATCCAACTTTTCAGTAAACTTTGAACTGATTTGAGGATTTACAGCTTGCTCATGAAATATGTTTACTTTAGCTAAAAGAGGTGAGTTTTAAAATCAAACTACACAACTAAATTCTAACTTTTTTGATGATACAATTATCAAATCAGTAAATCAGTATCAAATCAAATCATTTGAGTATTTACGGCTTGTTCTTGAATAATACTTTTATTATTCAAGTTCTATACATAATACTTTATAGATTATTTCCCTTTATTTGCAGATTCTTTTGCGAAAATTGTCAGTGAAAAGCTGATTTCAGGCGGAGGACTGGGTGAGTTTTTTTTAGAGGGGCAATGAAAGAGAGAGAAGCTGTTATCAGGTGGAACTTGATTCTATGTTTTAGGGTTGTCGCGAGTGTCGCCGTTCCTTTATGGGGCCTCGTACGGCCACCGTTCGACCGATTGACTCCAAAAAAAAAAAGGAAAAGGCAAAAGAAAAGTGGCGAGAGATTGAGGATTTCACTCGCTGTCAACCCAGTTGACAACTTGAGTACCGTACACCGCATCGCAAAGAGTAAATGGGAGAATGGAGAATAGAGGAAATTCATTATCGTGTAAGCCATGACCACCACGAATCCCCGATCTTCCCCTCCTTTCCCCCCAACACCTAATCCCCAACGAAATTAGGTTCGAGTTTCGCCTCTTGATGATGAAAAGCCTTCAACAATCCCCCGGGAATTCACTACATATTTCATTTTATCAATCAAATTGTGCAAAAGAATCAAAGTCTAATGATATGAGACAAAAATTTAGATGTTAACAGGTGTAAATTTTTAAAAAAAAAGACAAGAATCCCATATGTGCTTAGTTGTATCCACTTGTTCATCAAAATAAGAAGAAAAGCTAGATTTCAGGCTTTGATACAAGTGTGAACTTTAAAAATAACAGATTAGAGCAATCTAAATAAAAAAAAAACATGAAATATTTTGATGAAAAAGTGGATACAACTAAGCACATATGGGACTGTTTTTAGTAGAAAAAAAAACTATTTAGTTAAAATAAAGCCTGCTGCTTCAACATAACACTAATGAAGAATCGAGCATGGATGAAAATTGGAGTGAGTGAAGGGGCAATGCCGTGTGCCCTCTTGTTTTGAAAACAGAAACCCCATTGACTCTCACTCTCACTGTTTTGACCAAAAAGTTTCCAAAAAAGAAAAGTCTAAGAGTCTCACTAATTGTGAGTAATCTCTATCATTTACCATTAGCTTTAATTTCTATTATTATTTTCATTTTGTTTCTTTCTTTGATGACTTTAGTGCTTAGAAAAAAGTTCGAGTTAAGCAAAAAATGGAAATATTTACACAGTCCTCCCTTCAAAGTGCTTCGGTTCTCTCTCTTTTAGCTCTTTTAGGATTTTTCAGCGCACAATAGTTTGAAATAGTTTCGTTTAGCTTACAAATAATTGAATATTACGGATTAGATTGAGTGTTCGAGTCAATAAACATGTACTTGATAAACTTTGATATTTACTTGATAAATTTTGATACTTCATAAAATTTCAGATAGTTTTTGAATTGACTTCTAAAGCCTTTAGTGGCTTTAGAATTTAGGCGATGCTCAGGTAACCAAGTTACCTAGATCTTTAGTGATCTAGGCAACTTACCTACCGTAAATACTGTAATAATACCCCACCGCCCTCGTACAGTCACGTAGTCGCAAAAGTTTTCTAGTATTTCATTTTTTTCAAAGCGGCCGTACTTTCAAAAAATGCGTCTTTGGTATCAAAAAATAGCTGAAATTCAGGGCTATTTTTTGATACCTAAGCGCGCATTGTAGCATAAACCAGTGTCGAGGAAAACTCGTTCAAAGCTAGACTACGCAACACTCCGCACCGTCATTATGGGGGTGGGGTACTATTACAGTATTTACGGTAGATCTTTAGTGCTTAGGTAACTTGGTTACCTGAGCATCGCCTAAAGCATCTACCTGAGCATTGCTTGAAATCTCGAAAACCGCTTATGAGAAGCTATCGATGTGGGGTCGGAAAATGTAGCTGACGATGCGATCTTGTGGGGGATTTGAGTGTTGAGCTTCGGTGAGAACTTGAAAACCGTAAAATAGTCACCAACTCGGCTCGCCGGGGTGCACTACTATTAGAGAAAATACGGTAATCTCCTATTTGAGTAATTAAATCAAAATTTGATAGTAAGCTTTTAAGCGGAAAAACATTTTATCACGAAAATAAGACAAATTGAGTCTAAATCTTTTTTTTTAGATATACGGTAGTGTGGAAATTCAATAAACGAATAATGGGAAATGAAAATGATTGAAAATCGAGTGGTAAAAGGAAAAAAAAACGAAAGAAACGAGAAAAAAGAGAAGCGAGGCGTTGTGATGAAGCCTTCCGAAGTCAATTTCAAGAGATTAAACATTTTCGATCATTATGAATTGTTGAACAAAATTTATGAGCGAAAGGGAAAGCCTTTTCGAAAAAAATCGCTCCCGAAACTAATAACCCCTGGGTACATTCACGAAAGATATCCAGTCAAATATTTTCCCGAAAACTCTAAATTTACCCATCAGCGAGTGAACTTTAAATGATTTTAATACCCAGATTAGAAAGCTATAAAATCTTGAAAATAGGCAACGATCCGTTTGTGAAGACTTTAAGTTTTGGGTATCAGATTTGATCAAAAAGTCGTGTCTATTGTACCAAATCCTGTTCAATACTTGGGTAAATTGAGGCCGAATTCGAAAAAGAAATCAATTTACAGACGATTGGATATCTAAATTGTTCTAGAAAATGAAAGATTGGATGGTTAGCTTAAATGTTAATCGTGAACTTTGACTACCGTACTTTCAAAGCACAATGTTGCCTTGTGTGGTTAGATTTCGAAAAAGGTTGTTAGAGAGTTAAGGAAGAAAAGAAAATAAAAAGATTATGTGGGAAAAGGAGGAAAAGATTTCAGTTGGGGAGAGGCGGGACAAGTGAGGAGAAGGGACGACTCGGGCAATGGGGAGAGAGACCCCTAGGGGTACGGTAGGTTCTTAGAGAATGGGTAAAGCCTTATTGATAGTATAAAATCTAAGAATAGCTAGTAAGATTGATAAATAATTTGCTAAATGAATAGTTATTGAATATAAATCTTCCAATTTTAACGACTTTATTTGGTCCATTAAAAGATGAAAGATCATTTAGATCATTTCAGATCATTTCAGATCATTTCAGATCATTTCAACCTTGGACTCTTTCCTTTAAATCTTACTTATGCCATTCAAAATTCTTTAAATAGCTTTAAAATGATTTAAAAGCAAAAAAGAAAAGGGAAAAAAGGACTCAAAAAGAGATTTTTGTATGGAGTGGTTGTATGACATTCACACACACCCAGCCGCCCCATCATTTTGTAATAAATCCCGCCCGTTTTCTTTGCTTCGTCATCCACTAGGCTTAGGTTTAAAGCTTTTCAAAGAAAAACATTAAAATCATAAGAAATATAGCAATCACATCTATCATATAGTTACAGTTTTTTTTAAAAGAGAGTTAGGAATCTTTACATTGACGTTGAACAAACTTTGAGTTAAGGTCATCTCCAATTGTAACCGGTGATTAAGAACCAATCAAGAATGAAAGAATGCTATGGTTTAATGGCGACATTTCTTCAAAAATGCTAATTGAATACTTTAAATCTTGAAAATCTTGAAAAACTGATCGTTTTTAATCGAATTGACTTCAAAACAATCACTCTGGACTTTGATTGGCTTTAAACTCGACCATCGTTTAAAACTAACTCAAAATTCATTTCAGTTTGGCAATAATCCAGTTCATATCAGTGCAAATGCAAAATCTCGTATTTATTCTCGTATTTATTGCAAATGCAAAATCAATATCAGAAAAAAAGGTTGGAAAATGCAGAACTTTAGAGGTAAATGGCGCTACCAGTTGCCAGTTGCGCTTATCTTTGTTCAAGCCTGAGCGCCTGCCTTCCGAAGAGAAAGACGCGGTCCCCCAATAGCCCATTTTCTTTGAGCTCCCGCTTTTTTTTCCCCTTGTCTTTTTTTCCACTACACTTTCCTTCTTTTTCCCTCTTGTAGATACCCCGTTGATTTCACGGATTGCCTTTCGTTTTCACCCCACGACGTGATGATTCATCTAATCACAAAACCCTTAAAAAGCTTTTCTCATCATTGTCTAACTGTCTAACCTGGTTTAGAATCAGAAAATAGTCAAATATGTTTTTAAAAAAAAAAACACCAAACCTTATTTGA